GAATGACTACGATGAAGATGAGACTAGAATGCTCCTGCTAGCTGGCGGGACACTTACCTTTGGCGCTCAGCTTGCGCTTTGACGCGGGCGTTGCCGCCGGTTGCGTACCGCCGACTTTGCGTTTCTGGCCAGGATCGGAGCGCCGCTCCCGAGTGTTGGCCAGGGTGCTCAGCGGCTGATCGGCGCTCTTTTTGGCCACGTTCTTGCTGTTGTTGGTGTTGCCGTTGCTACCATTCTCGGCTGCCTTTCCCGTATTCCCTGTGGCGGCCGCCGCACCTCCTCGTTTCAGATGAGCCGGCATCCGCTTGGGCGGCTGCATCGAGCTGGTCACCGCTCCACTGCCCGAAGTAGATGCTGAGGAGGTAGATGCTTGATCTGCGGGTGGAACTGGCTTCTGCGGCGACTTGAGCGTCTTGGGATCCTCCTGCTTCTTGTGCATACCCACGTCCAGCCAGAACTTGAGCTGCTCCTCGCGCTGGCGCTGCATTAGCTCCTGCCCGGCAGCGTATTTGCTCAGCAGGCCCTGGAGCTTCTGCACCGTCTTGTAGACCGTCTCGGCCGCAATCAGGCCGTAGTCAAAGAGCGAACACATGTGCAGGATGAAGTTACGGTAGAGATTCTTGCGCACAATCTCGGTGCCCTTGGCATCGAGAAACATCTCGCAGGCGATCGGCAGCTGGCAGTCGCCCACGAATCCGTGACGCATCACGTGCAGGTTCCACAGCTTCATCAACTCCTTTTCACCCTCGTTGACGTCGGAAAACTCGTCGATCATCTGAATGGTCTTCTGGCGCAGCCACAGCGGATCGCTCTCTCCCTCGGAGTCGATGTCAAGCTCTTTGGGATGCACTGGCAGGCAAGTCTCCGTGTGGTGGTAGAGTCTGAAAGGATTAAGTTAGTTTGTGGAATAACACAAGATTTTATAAACTACTTTACCGATGATATTTAAACTAAAATAGCCACTTACCTGTTGTGACCCGTAATGTACGAACGCTGGTTGCTGATCTCGTCCTCGTCCAGCTCCAAGAACTCGTCCAGGCAGGTCTTTTGCCGCCTTGGCCGGCACACCATAAGGCTAGTGACCGAAGTGCGTCGCACGGGGCCGCAGGTGCGGGCAAACGAGGAGCCAGATGGTCCGGCCAGGTCGTAAGGCGATCCAGCGTACGAGCCATCGTAGGCATCATTAATGGTTACATCGATGCGCGCCCCACTGCCAGCCGGCTGGTAGGTGAAGTTGAAGCGGGCGTGGCAAAGCTTCAGATGCTTCAGCAGGGCGTACAGACGCAGGCAGTCTAGGCCGCACCATGGGCAGTTCAGTTCCTGAGTGTATTCCGTCTGCTGGCGCGTATTGTTGCTGTACATAAAATTGTAAACGATTTGAATGTGCTCTGGGGTGGATTTGCACAAGGCACTGCCTCCCCCATTCTTCAATCCGCTGCAGTTATTGTTGTTGCTGTAGTTGTTGTTATTGTGATTCATCTCGGCCACCGCATCCAGATGCTGGACATAACGCTGCAGCTCCGGCGCCGAAATGATCTCGGGCAGTTGCTCATTGGATAGCGTCAGATGGAACTTGAGCATGGGACTCTGCTGATAGACATCGTAGGTCAACGAGAGTGGAATGTAGCTGTCGGGCATCGTTTCCCAGGTGCATTTCTTTGGTGAGAAGGATTTGATGCTGGTGGAGTTGAGAGGCTGCAGCATGGCCTCGTACTCGCCCTCGGTAATGAAGCCGCTGGACTTCTCGTACAAAATCAGCTCCGAGCCGAACATCTTCTCGTTTCGACGTGACCGTTTGTTCGGAGGAGTTTCTACAGGACATCAAAAAGAGCATTGGATTAGGCTGGGACAAGCTAGGAGCTGGATGAAAACACACCTGAATTCTCATCATTGCACGAGCTAGGCGCCAGCACTTTAATACGAAAGAGCAGCTTGTAAAGGGTGTGCTGCTCCCCCATGGGCCGCATCGTCTGCAGGGGAATGCTGATGGTGGCATGCTCACCCACGCGATCCTTTGGATTATACACGATCTGCGAGCTCTTGCTAAGCAGCTCCTGAAAGTCCAGGGTGCTGTCCTTTCGCTTGCTGCGTGTGATCTTGTACAGAGTGGTCTCCACACTCACCGATTCGCCCGCCTCGCACATCAGCTGCTCCTGCAGCAAATCCTCGCCAGAATCGTTGGGCGTCGCCGACTGCAGTTTCTCGTGGAGCGAATCGTAGATGACGTGCAGGTAGTTTTGACTCACCGCCTCCGATTTCTGGGTAATGCTGTCCAGCATGGAGTTAACCTGGAAGCTGGCCCGCTTCTTGTTGTTTCGCGACATGCGTTCCTTCATGTAGCTGAGCGTGCGGTTCAGGAAGATGGGCTGCGTTGGGAGTGTTGAATTAATAAGAGGTTTAAGGGGTTTAGAGGGCTATGAGGGTTGAACAAGAAATCTCGAACTGTTCTGGGAGCGATTGGTTTTAGAAAATGCTTAGCTTTCGGTATGTTAAAGTACATTTTCTGAGATTTTGGCTTTGATTATTGGTAACTATGTGGTTAATTTATAGGATTCTTTTATATACAGTGTGATTCTGATCATTCATCCTTTTTAAATGGAAATAATGCCTCAGTTTTAGTTTATTTTATGGATGGTATGAAAATAGGGTTCAAAAATACTTTGATTTTACAGAATCTCGTCTGATTTTTGATGTTTAAAGATGATTCTAGTCAGTTTCTCATATTATCATGTGAAAAATAAAGATTTAACCATTGCCTGGTAGAGATTTTCGGGGATACCTATGTTTCTGGGTCATGTTTTCGGACCTTGTGAACTTACATTTGTCTCGTGTCGATTGCGCAGGTAGCGATAGATCTGCGTGGGCTCTGAAAGGTAAATATCATATGATATAGGATCGCTTAAGAACATAATCCCATGGCTGCTACTCACTCTCGAAGGCCTGCAGAAAGAGTTCCTGCTCCTGCTGGTGGCCATTGAGTTTGATCTGGCCCTCGGCCGTTGGCGGTACAGTAGAGCCTGCGTTGCCATGGCCATTACCATTACCATTTCCGTTTCCCGCATCCGGTGCTCCGTGGGACAGGCCATTTAGGCCATTGGGGGCAGCACCATCGGCATTATTGTCTTTCTCGCGTTTTTTCGCTGGTGCCATTGTGTTTGTGTGTTGGCAAGGGGTGGCGATGGCGGCGGCGGAGCGGTGCGGGGGCGGTACTGAAGCGGTACGGATTCCACGGATCACAATTACAACCGCACGCACTCGCTTTTAGTTCGGGCACATTTTCGCCGCATCAGAGTCCATTTAGAATCGCGTTTTGTGTGTTTTTCGCAAGGCTATGCGTGTTTTTGCCGTCCTCCTTTTCGGCGCGAAATCTTTTGCTTTTGTCTCAGCGTTATTATGGGCGCACTAGCAACGCTGCGACCGCATGACGTGTGTTTTGATTCTGGATTGCTATTCGCAGCCACTTTATCTTGTTAATTACTTAATTAGCTTGCTAATTATATGTTTGGCAGTGGTTAAAACTAATTTACTGTTATATTACTGTCAAAATGCAAAGGCTTCTGTTTTTTTTTTGTGTTCTGTCTGTCATGCGGCATCTGTCTAGCACTCGGGCGTTTACCAACACTGTTTCGGGAAACCTCAATTAAATTTTCTTTAATTTATGTATGCACTACTAGAAAACAACTTTAATATAAATATGTTTTATATTTTATTAATTAAACTAGAGAAAGGGGAAATATAAGTACACCTTTTACACAGCTGTTTTGCCCGAGTGCTGGAAAACATTACAATCAAAACCAAGTGGCAACGCCATTTCGTGTCATCGAGTTTTCTTCCCATCACCATCTCACATGCATTTTGTCTAATTTCGCCGAAATTATTAACAACCGGTGAAACAACTGCTCTGTAAAATCCAAAATTTCTGAAAAACGCCCGCAGCAACTCTATCAAAATGGACAAGAACAGCGCAGCGTTGTACAAAAAGATGCAGACCGAGGTTGAGTCATACCAGAACCTGCAGAAATGTGAGTAAAATTGAATACCATCTGGTTGTGAATATCCATCTACATATATGAATTTCCATATAGCCTGCGTGAAGATGGTGAAACAGCGAGCCCTGCTGGAGAGCCAGCTGAACGAGAACAAGTGCGTCCTGGACGAACTGAATCTCCTGGGACCCGACAACAAGGTCTTCAAGCTCTGCGGCCCCATTTTGGTCAAGCAGGAACTGGAGGATTCGCGTCAGAATGTCGGCAAGCGCATCGAGTACATCTCCAAGGAGCTTAAGAGCTCCACCGACACTCTGGAGAACATGTGAGTGACTGGAAAGCGGTGACTTATAGGTAACTAATTGTAACTCCTCTTCTTTCCAGGGAGAAGGACATGCTGAAGCATCGGGAGGCCGTGGCCAAGTACCAACAGCAATGGCAGGTGGCGGCGGCGATGAAGTGATGACCCCCGCACACACAACACCCTTATTTATAACTTATTTTGGTATAGCTTGATGGCTTTAATAACTCCCTGGCGCGACAGCTTCATCTTGAAATCAATAAACAGAATGAAACATTCAAGGGAGTACATTGTCGAGTTTTTTGGGGAATTTAGGAAATTGAATATCTGCAAGCTAGAAAAATATGTAAATAAGTAGGAGAGAGCGCATTATTCGATTTAGTTAAAGAAAATTTTAAAATTTTCTGCCTGAAAAATATTTTTTGCCCGTGCTGGAACCAGAACAAACAGCTGATATAATCCGAAAGGTAACCCCAAATATTGTAACAGGGCTTTTAAAATTTTTTCTCACTAAGTTAAAACAATTAAAAGGAAGAATAAATATGCTGTGATTGTGATTTTGCTAGTAATAAAATTATTAAGGGATCGTGATTTTGAAGTAACAGACCTAACATAGCTTACTTGAATTCCCCTAACATTTCGAAATAAATTCTGATCAGCTGTTAGGCTTATTACACCCACTGACTGTTGTGGTATTTCAGCGCTGGCGCCCTGCCGGTCACACTAATATCTACAAAGAAATTATTGCCACGAAGAACAGAACTTATTATTTGTTGGCACAATTAAAGCGGGGATAAAGCGCTGAAAAAGTCAGTGCCCGGTTTTGGAATAGAGCTCGACTGGACGCATTTAAACGATGGGCTCGAGCCATAGCATCAACGTTCCTGGTGGCGGCACCGAAGGTAAGTGGGTCTATAAAACTCCATGGCCATGGACCACGTAAACGTAAACCTGCCGCTGGTCCAATCAGAAAAAAGAACACTATAGCTTAGTATATGATAGTCGACCAGCAAATACCCTATAAATCTTCAAAACCAAATCCAAAAAGATCCAGTTTTATGGTTAAATCGTAAATCCTATAGCATTCGAAACTCTTTCTGCTTCTTCGGTCTGTTCCAGTCATTACACATTATACTAAAAGTTAAACGTTATTACTTACAACTATGGGTACTACATTAACATTTAAATTTCTTCTAACCAATTTTACTTTACCAAATATATTTCCGATTAAACCATAATCTTGTTTCGCAGGCTACCACGTACTCAAAGTGCAGGACAACTCGCCTGGTCAAAAGGCTGGACTGGAGGCCTTCTTCGATTTCATTGTGGCTATTGCCGGGACACGTTTGGATCAGGACAATGATATGCTGAAGGAGCTACTGCGCCAGAACGTGGACAAGCCAGTGCGGCTCACCGTTTATTCCAGCAAGACGCAGACGGTCCGCGAACTGACGCTGACACCGAGCAACAGCTGGGGCGGCCAGGGACTTCTGGGCGTCAGCATCCGGTTCTGCTCTTTCGAGGGCGCGAACGAGAGCGTCTGGCACATCCTGGAAGTGCATCCCAACTCCCCGGCCGAACTTGCGGGATTGCGGGCCTACAGCGACTATGTAATCGGGGCAGATGCGATTCGCCACGAGAACGACGACCTGTTCACCCTGATCGAAACGCACGAGCAGCAGCCTCTCAAGATGTACGTCTACAATCTGGATGATGACGCTTGCCGCGAGGTCACCATCAAGCCGAATACCGCCTGGGGAGGCGAGGGAGCCCTGGGCTGCGGCATTGGCTTCGGCTATCTGCATCGTATCCCCGTGCAGGCCGATCCTGTCGCTGGTGGATCTACACCTTCTGCTGCTGTGGAGTCCTCTGCTCCGCTATTGACAGCTCCTGGTGGTGGAGCAGCTCCAGCTGGTGTTCCAGTAACGACCGCAGGATCCGCTGTGGTCGCACCAACGTTGCCTTACATACCGCCGCTGGCCAATACTTTTGGATCCACCAACGCTGAGGTCAGGCCACCCACCATTGAGCCGCCGGCACAGAGCCTGTTCAAGACCTATTTCAATCCGGATGAAGCCACTGATGCACTTACCGCAGCGCTGGAGACGCAGGCCAACATTGCTGAACCCGTTCCAAATCCGGCTCCAGTCGCTGACGTGTCCGTGGCACAAGTGCAGGTTCCCGCACCAGCGCAACCATTACCGCCACCAGCCAACATCTATATTCCCGGCGTTTTTGACCCCAGCACACAGCAAAACGCTACTTTCGTTGGCATACCCGCCGCCCAGCTGCCATTCCCACAGGCCACGGCAGCGCCAGCGGCTGTGCCCATGTTCTCTGCACCGCAACAGGCTTATATGTCGGCCCCAGCTGCCCTGTCCTATCCAGCCGGCGCCCAGACAGTGCCGTCGTATCCACAGGTGCAGCCCTCCATGGGCGGACTGTTCCCCACGCAGCCAACGCCGCTGCCACCCCAAATGGCCCATGTATTCGCGCCACCAGTACCACCGCAATCCAGTGCTGCTCCAGTGGCCGACAATGAACCATCTGGACCGGCAATTCACCAGGCCGGCAACTAAGACTTCAACTGGGCCAATTGACCAATTGCTAAACCTGGACAAATTGTCGTTAAGCTTTTATGTTTGAGAATCAACTGTTTTGTATGATTGCGTTAGCAAAAATCACAAGTGGCGCAAAGACGTTGGCCAGCTGCATGCAAAAATATGTACATTGCATTCATAATAATAATCTAAATTAATTATAATAAATAAATAAAAATATATATGTATTTAAGGTCTTTACATCAACAAATTTTTAATAGATACTCTTAGTACTGTCACAATCAGTTTATAAAAATGTCTTGGAATCGAAACTTTCAATTGCTTGGTAACCTTTTGAATGAATTACAAATCTGATTTTTTATCGTCAATTTAAATCAACATATTTTATACAAGTTTGGCAAAAATATTTTGCATCTTACATATGTATCAAAATTCGTTAAACATATACCAATTGAATTTTCTTAGTTAACTTAATCTAGAGCGTTTCTCGCGTTTTGGCTTGAGTGCTCTTAAGAACTTGTCATGAAAATGGGCAAGGTCCTCTGATATCGTTTGCAAGACCTTGAGAGTTTCCCTTTGAAGGGACAACATTTCCTCACCCATTGCTTTAGCTCTATCACGCTTGTAGCGCTTAGAGGTTGATTCAGGAAAATCGTATTCCATGGAAGAATCTGACATATTTTCGGAATGGGTTCTTTCAGTTGGCTCTGCAAAGAATATGGTTATAACTGGGAACATTCCTGTAAAAGATTAGTAAACTTTTTCCTTACTTGAATATAAGTTTGATAGCATGTCTTCATCGCTGTCATTATAATCCTCAGTTTGGGAACGACTTCTGGAGTTTTGCTCAAGACACTCATATTCGGTTAACGAATCTGGGTATTCAACTTCGGTTCGGTTTATTTCAGGCGATTTCTCTCTTATGGAACGTATCTCTGCAATGCATGTGTAATGTAATAATAATTCGTGTTAAATTATAGATATACCATCTTTACCAGATTTTAGTTTGCTTTTAAGGGCTTTCTTTGCCATTATCTCTGCTTCGCGATCGTACACATCATCATCATCATCATCTTCTTCATCTTCCACAAGAAGCCGCATTTTGGAGAAGTAGTTCCATTTAGAGGACTTTCCTGAGGACTTTACTTTTTGGAATTCGTTGCTATAAGATGCAGATGTTATCTATCAAGCACTACATGTGGTTAAAGCATGTACATTACATACCGGTATCTTTTCTTCATGTTGTCCATTTTTGCCTTTATTTCGACCCAAGTAATATTGAACTCCCTCATTGAGTATGCCATTTCCTTCATGATATCCAAGTTTTTTCTTTTCTTCCCGCGAAAGCCTCCAAGATTCTCCAGCCACATTTCAAGGAGCCATTCTGTTGCTTCGGCGCTCCACACGAACTTCTTTGAAACAACTGCATGGCATACAAATGTAATAGTACAGTGTAAGTATATTGGTGTGGCAAAGACAAATCATATTTGTTAATTAAGATAATTTAATAATTACCTGCTTTTTCCGGCGGCATTATTTATATAGTACAGCTGTTTGTTTTTAATACATCGATAGGCAAGCCACAAGTAATATCGAACCATTACTAATGTGGTCGGAACTAATTCCGCGCAGGAAATAGAAATGGTTTTGTATAACCAAGTTATATTGCTAATTTGTAACCCAAAATGTAAAAATGATGTGTAAATTTTAATAATGACAATTACAATACCCCATAATAATACAAAAAGGGAGAACTGTTTGTATCGTTAAAACGCAACAACGTTTTAGGGAATACCCTAAATATGATGGTATATACTAAATACAAGAATCGCGTTGGTGTCATTGCGTGGGCGGTTAGAGCTAGAATTGCTCAGCCCCGAGATCCGGTCACACTGCACAACGAGAGTTTGGTGTTTTCATTTATCCGCGGAAATTCGCCTTAATTAGTAACCGTTTTAGCAGCGAAGCACAGAGGAACCACCACAATGGCTCAACCCCAACCACCGGCGTACGAAAACAGTGAGTTGGCATCCCATAATGATAAACCACATTCATAAACCCGATCCCAATCGAAATGAGACGGTGTGAAAGGGGGATGAGTCAACAGGCGAAAACGGTAAAAGCAGAAAGCAATCGCCGGAAGCGCTGTGATTATGCCCATAAATGGTCATGGGCAGCATTCGAAAGACCTTTGAAGTTTTTTGGGAGGGTGGCGGGGCAATTGGAGCCACCCTGGTGACCCCCGCCCACCCTAAAAAAGAAGCCGCACCCTGTGTTGCACCCACTCCCTGCCTAAATTTGCCGGTCTTATCTGTGCTTTCCGCATTTCTAATCGAAATAATCGCTTTATTTGCAGAAAACATCTACGCAACTCTGCCGCGCACCCAACGCGGCCAACCCATCGTCTTGGGTGCCGATCCCAAGGGCAAGAACTTCCTATACACCAATGGCAACTCGGTGATCATCCGAAACATCGAGGTAAGATGATATAGGCCTGCAGCCTGAGAAGCTGATGCTGCTCCTGCCATAAATCCATGGCATTTTCCAAATGGTGTTTTATTTTTGGACAGCTGCAGTTTGTGTGTGATTTCTGGCTTTCTTGGCAGCTGTTCTATATTTATTTTTATATACGGCGCAAAACACAGATTCCCATTCCACAGGCCAACCGGCAAAATCAGCCATACCACACAGACTGGCACACAAAGATATTGCTTGTTTGCGGCCCACGCATCATCATTATGATGTTTTCATCTGTTAGAAGTGATTCTACATAGCGGCTATGTTTGTCTGTCTTTCACACGTAGAATCTGTAAATATTCTAACAAAATTCCCCTATGTTCCTTTGTCTTTTTCTTAAGAATCTATATTTTCTATCTATATCTTTTATCCATGTCTATTTAAACCTGTTAAAAACGGTGTGAATTCATGTAATTTCTTCATAAAAACAGTAGTTATAAACTCTAGACTACGAAATTCCTTATGCCAACTTTGTTACCTCCCAAAGAAAACTACCATTTATTTATTCATATTATTCACTGAGATCACCATTAAGTTGTTCCATTCTGGCAAAAGTGTTTCTAACATGTACACACTTTTTTCCCTTTCTTCCCCACTATAGAATCCAGCCATCGCCGATGTCTACACGGAGCACTCGTGTGCAGTGAATGTGGCCAAGTACTCGCCCAGCGGCTTCTACATTGCATCTGGTGGTAAGTCTCGCCCAGCAATTTCACACTTGGAGCACACTGGAGCACCCGACTTGGGGCAGCAGAGCATAAAGAATCGTGACCACCATGAGTCACGCCATGGCCAGTGATTAGCATTTCCCTATTTGGAGCCGATTTTTTTTTATCTTATCTGCGGTTTCGATTCGAGTAATGTTACTTATTTGTTTTTTCCCTTTCTCTCGCCAGACGCCTCGGGCAAGATTCGCATTTGGGACACGGTCAACAAGGAGCATCTGCTTAAGAACGAGTTCCAGCCCATTGCAGGACCCATCAAGGACATCAGCTGGTCGCCGGACAATCAGCGCATCGTAGCTGTGGGCGAAGGACGGGAACGCTTTGGCCATGTCTTCATGTCTGAAACAGGCACCTCGGTGGGCGAGATCAGTGGCCAGTCCAAGTCCATTAACTCCGCAGACTTCCGGCCAGCCAGGCCATTCCGCATTGTGACGGGTGAGTTAGCATGATGGCCATAAATAGCGATAAACTAATTTTCAAATTCGTTGACGCAGGCAGCGAAGACAATACGGTCGCCGTGTTCGAGGGACCCCCGTTCAAGTTCAAGATGACCAAGCAGGATCACTCTCGCTTCGTCCAAGCTGTTCGCTACTCCCCCGATGGCAAGTTATTCGCATCGGCCGGTTTCGATGGCAAAGTCTTCCTGTACGATGGCACCAGCTCTGAGCTGGTGGGCGAGTTTGGCTCGCCCGCCCACAAGGGCGGCGTTTACGCTTTGGCCTGGAAACCGGATGGCAGCCAACTGCTCACCTGCTCGGGAGATAAGACCTGCCGCCTTTGGACGGTGGAGTCGCGAGAGCTGGTTAGCGAGTTCGTGATGGGCACCACAGTGGATGACCAACAGGTATCCTGCCTGTGGCAGGGAGAGAACCTGATCACAGTCTCGCTGTCGGGCGTGATTACCTACCTCAATGTGGCGGATCCTTCGAAGCCGCTGCGCGTGGTCAAGGGCCACAACAAGCCCATCACCGTGCTGGGGCTGAGCGATGATCGCAGCACCATCTACACTGGCAGCCACGATGGCGTGGTGACCAACTGGAACTCGGGCAGCGGCACCAATGACCGCATTACTGGCACCGGGCATGGCAACCAGATCAATGGCATTGCCGCCTGGGGCGACTTTGTCTACACTTGCGGCATCGACGACAGTCTGCGCCAGTTCAGCGTGGAGGGCAACTCGTATACCGACTATGTGGTCAAGCTCAACTGCCAGCCTCGCGGCCTGGCCATTCTGCGCAACGAGAACATCATTGCGTTGGCCTGCATCAAGGAGCTGACCCTCGTGCAGGACCAGAAGAAGATCTTCTCACTGCCCATCAAGTATGAGGCCAGCTCGATTGCCGTCAATGCGGACACCTCCGATGTGGCTGTGGGCGGTGATGACCAAAAGCTGCACATCTACAGCCTCAAGGGCGGAGTCCTGGAGCCCAAGGTGGAGCTGGATCACCTGGGCGCGGTCACGGATGTTTCATACTCGCCGGACCTTAAGTATCTGGTGGCTTGCGATGCCCATCGCAAGGTGGTGCTCTACTCGGTGGAGGAGTACAAGGTAATGATTTGGATAATGGAATTATTGCGTTCCTTACTAAAGTAATACATTTTTGTGTAGCCTGCCCACAACAAGGAGTGGGGCTTCCACAGTGCTCGCGTTAATACGGTGGCCTGGTCGCCCAACTCGCTGTTGGTGGCCAGTGGATCGCTGGATACCACCATTATTATTTGGTCCGTGGCCAATCCGGCCAAGCACACCATAATCAAGAGTGAGTCCTTAGAGGGGAATCAATGTTTATTGGTTACTGACATTTCTGTTTTTTCCAGATGCCCATCCTCAGTCGCAGATCACTCGGTTAGTCTGGCTGGACAACAACACTGTGATCTCCACCGGACAGGACTGCAACACCAAAGTGTGGCACGTGGAAAGCATTTAAATGGCCCAACCTAGCCCAGCCGTGAAGCATATT